ATTGATTGATTGATTGATTGATTGATTGATTATGCGTTACAGATAATGCGGATTTCTGGCATCGGTCATATTTTTCGAGTAGAAACTGACTCTTTTGCTTTTAACCAATTATGTTATATGAGAGGGCTTACTATTTAAACATTTATTAATATTTCGTTCCCGGGAGTTGAGTTAACCCAGTAATTAGCTGGTGGGGTTGTTGAAAGTAAAATCTGTTTGAAGCTGAAGTACTATCAATCTAAAGTAAATGAGCATTAATATGATGATGCTATGATATTGTTTTTTAACGAAGCGTCTCTGTCCAGACTGCACACGAATAGTTGGCGAATTATAATGTTACCAATACCATATTGAAAAACATACCTTAGTTTTGAGAACATTAATTTCAGCAACTACACAGCACGTATATAAAATAATAACAACAATACTGATGTCTAAACGCATCATAGTGCCATTAAATCCTCCTAAATACTCAGAGAGTCTTAATATTGCTAATAGCTCTCCAATAATAGCCATGACCCAGTAAAGTAACATCCACCAGGCAAGATGAGGTCGATTCCAATGCTCCATATGATGGTAATACACCAAACTTAGTACTACACTGATCACTGCTAACAGTTGCGGAATGTACAAGTATGGATCACTGGTAGCATTTCTAGTAAGGTCAGTAAGGATTCCATCAGCCACACTAAAGAATAGCACTGTTAGAAGCAATCCCGAAATTGCCCATTTGAATTTATGTCCGGGATAACGTATCAAGGTTTTGTGGTCGTAGTAACGTAGTTTAGTGCAGTATTTCATAACAATAAGAATAATAGACGCTACTCCAATAAAAGAAGCATGGATTACTATTTGAAGATATTGAACTTCACCGAGCTTGTCACGGCTTGTGGTGACATTGGAATTCATGTTTGTAATTAATATCTGAAAAGAATACAAATATTATTGAAATTCATAACTCGTAAAAAAAATCGGTGAAATCTGTGAAAACACAAAACAAAAGAAAGCATTTCAAGTGTGTCAGATGGATGAGGAAGAAAACTTTGAATCAACTTTCAAAACAAACTGTAACACACCATATAACAATACGTTCGTGAAGCTGTTTGTGACATCCACAATGTGAATAAATTTACATGCATATGCGAATATAAACAATGTGAACAAATTCACTTGCATGTGCAAATGTTGACAGTGTGCCAATATTTACATGTTGATAGTGTGAACAAATTTACAATTATTAATTAAAAATGTGCTTGCTTACATATCATGTATTATGCATGTTTGTGTACTAATACAAAACACTGGCGGCGTTATATCAGTAGGCCATTAGCTAGTTGTGACATATGTTATCAGATGTCTTCATGCAAATACGTTAGTATGTCGGCGCAAATAAGTAGATATGGTGTTTAACAATCGTATCGCCTGGAATTGCTCACCACTTGTAGACATGCCTGTATAATCAACAAATACGAATAGTTTCGTAGGGGCGCTTCGGATAGCAAGTATACATATAATATCAGCCATCCCCGTATATACCACAAGTGACACGAAGTATAATCCTTGTAAAAAGTGTATTGTTTATAAATAGTATCATTATACTCGGACAATAGGCCCAGTTCAATTATAATTCACATAGTACTTACAATATCGCCAATATCGTTATATATAGATTCATGATGAACGAAAGTTCATTAATTTGTCAATGCGATTTATTGTTGTTGTACACCGAGTCAAAACTAAATTTATGTGATTTAGTATGCATTTGTGCTAAAAAACGGTACATAGGTAATAGCCATTCTGTGCATCAATTCGAAATTACGTGTTTTGAAATTTCGTCATAATCGGTAGAAATCATTTATCGCATATCCTACGAGATTACATTTGTGACATAACTATGTTTGGCAAGTGTTTTGGACCAGGTGACCCAAATTATAGTTTCTCAAATGACTAACAAGATTATAAAGGGATACGTTACCTTATCGAACGGGATTTTAAGAGTAAATTAGCACTATAGTGATACCTGTGTGAGAATTGGTGAATAAAAGGCAGTAACAGTAATCGTTCGTCACGAACCAGCATACCTGATAAATTCCAAAAATACGCACCGGGTTTGTTGCTATGACGATGTTAAAAATACGGATGATATGATTTCAGAGTAACAGAAATATTTGCGTCAAACATGTTCTGGTACTGTTTTATAACAGTATATAAATTGAGTGGTTATTCTTTTGATTTTAAAACCAAGTGTATAACCCATTTAACCAATAAATGGGATGTTTATCTAGACAGAAAGATATTCTGCATGTTGGTTGTGACGTGAAAGATTGGAATTGCGCGGTCTATGCTCACTACATGCTATTTAAATCTGTTCTTTGTAGGGAGTGCTCCAGTCCTTTACTACGACCTTTTCGTAATCACCCTGTCAAAACTGCTTCATTTATGAAACATTTATTGCAGTCTTTTGCAATATTACAATATTCTGAAATACAAATAATTTGCAGTGTAGGGAGCCATTGCAAGCGTTTTAAGTAATGCTTGGCTCCAAACGTCAGGTGATGACATTCTTCAAAGAATTTGCCCCCAAAATTGTAATAATCGTTCCAATGACGACCCTTCAAAACATCGCGATGCAAAATTATTTTTTGCAGCCATTGCTGATAAAAATGTTAGTCAAATACGTGAATGGCTCTTTAGTACAGCATGTACTATAGGTCAATTATTGATTCAACGGACCGTAGTTCCGTTGAGCTATACTGATGATGTTGTGCGCGGCGTCTGAAGTCTGCCTGGTTGTGGGCGACTTCTTCTCAAAAACGACTGAATTGTTTGACTTGATTTTTTTCTGTATTTTCTTGATAGGTACAGACGGAATTTGTTTCATTGGAAGTTGATCCGCCTAAAATTATGCAAACTAGCTACCATGAACTATTATAATAATATATAAAAATGCCTAAATGACTTCTACTATGTCTACAGTGCTAACAATAGGGGCTACCTTTATTGGTTTTGTTAATTTTGTAACAAAATCTTCAATTCCCTAATTTTTTGAAAATTTATAGTGACTATTTTTGTCATTTTTGGTACAAATGGTGTTTCGACTTCTTCTTAAAAACTAATAGCTCAATTATTTTGATACTTGGTATCTACCTTGGGTAGCCCTATGTCAGTTTTTTTCAGTATGTAGGAGCCTTGGGTGGAACTCTGTCACATTTATTATTTTTTAGAAAATATTGTATTTGTTAGTAACAAATGCAAAAAATACCAGCTCAATAGGTGATTTTCCGTTCACTGCGAGATCTCGCGAGAGGCATGAAAGAACGTCTGCCGCAATTGCAATTGGAATATTGCTTTCGAATACCCTCACTTAATCGAAATTGTCTATCATCAAATGTGTACAGCACATTATTAAATATGGAAATGCCCCTGTTTGTCGCGTTTGTCGAATCCCACGCGATGTTTGACGCCACTACAACGCTATGACCTTTCTTTGTCCTGTTTTTACGTTCGATTTCACGCATAACGCGTGATTTCGCAGTGAACGGAAAATGGTCTATTACTTTGATACTTAGTATGGTTTGAAACACGTTGATAACAATTGCAATTGGCGACAAGTATATAAACTACCATGGCTACCATCATTAATAATCCCCATATATAGCAGTATTAACTTTGAGGAAGACACTCCACCGAGACAGTTGTGCTTTTTAAACCATTAGGTCACTTTTTTAAGTGATGGGGTGATTCATTAAAAAATCAGAAAGGTAAAACTACTGTACAAATTGCTTTCTTCCCTTCACCTAGTTTTGAGACTCATTTGTTGAGATGCATATATATGTGGCTGTTAATGATATCACAAATACCGCTAATTAATTCTATACAATAGGTGTACAGTTGTATAGAAATAATACTAGACCTGTTAATGTTTCAGTGTCTGTTCCAATATCTTAACCGATCATTATATTTCAATGATGATGTTGTACACTAATGTACTCTCAAATAAATTCATTTTTCGGAGAAATCTTTGAGCAACAGGCCTATTGTGTAGCTATTATTGTAAAATGTTAGTAACAATTCATATATTCACAATAAGTTACCAGTTAGTGTATAATAATTATCAATCTTGAAATCACAATACAATATCCAACATAATGTTAGGCCTAATACACGTACGCATGATCTCGCCTATGACGTGCAGTCATTTTGAGGTATAGTTTATAGGAAACATAACACATTGCATCAATCATATACATTATGATTCAGAGTAAAAAATTTCTCTATGATCAACCTTCAAAATGGATGAGATGTCGCACTGCACAAGTCTTTATTCTTCTAGCTTACCAAACCATTTAAGGTATGAAAACTATTTGACAATGCTAGTACGTGCCGAATATGCCAATACAAGTATATGTGTTCTGAATAACAACAGAGCAAACCACGTCCTAAGTGCATTTAAGTTTTAGATGAGTGTTACTGAGAGTGAATTGTTTCAGTTCACTGTTGGGCGTCATTTTCTTTTATCCATGATGCAATGGGAATATCAATAGTTATTTGGTACCAACAACCAACTATGTTGTTGTGGTCGTGTCAGGCGTGTTTTCGAGATGTATGCAAGGTTTTTTATAAAAAGGATGCGTTTTCTCTCATAGATTTATAAATACAGTTCCGTTTACTTGCAATTTCACAAAAAACGCCAGTTTTAAGTTGTTGGGAACGTGTACATGGCTGTATATACACATTTTCTGACGATTGTTTTCACATAATAATAGCGAGACAGGCTGATCTCATATTTCCACCTGGTTTAAGAGGACAAGTACAATATTTAGCAGTGAAAGTGTGGGAAACAAATAAGATTGCAGACCTAAAAATACACGTAGAATGATCAAGATGTTTCCGTATTTTGAGGAACACTGATCCAATTATTTATTTTTTCCGACAGGTACAGTATTTTATATAAAAGAACACTTGTTTTTAATACACTTGTTTTAGATACGGTATACACCGAAAATTTTTAATTACAGCGTATGTCATATCAGCGGTCGGTATAGACACACTGTAATATGTTGACAGAATAATGAGTACGTAAAGGAGTTATTATAATTGGTGACACACAAAAAAAATGCCCTCGTCAAGGCCATCACACCCCACCAAACGGGACTTTGGTACTGTTTCGGAGATTGATCATGTCTCTTCGTATATGTGTTTATATATATGTATGCTGTTCATGTCATACTCTAGTTTACGGGAACTCTTTTCAGTATGTTCACATAAATATCCATGAGTCGAATTTTATATAGACGGGAAAGTAAACATTCCCAACTAGACGATTTTCTGCCTTTGTTTAATAATCATGTTGTGTCAACTTCATGGGAAAGATGCGTTACATGGGAACACTGATGGGATACACTGTAATTCTGTAAATACCATGAATGAAAAGAATAGTTGCTGATAAACATATATTGCATTGATCTTTTAGAATAAATATAGAGAAATAATTATGCAAATAACGATACAGAGTTCAAAATTTATGCACATAGTTGACGTTTTGGGATTAACGCGTCCACATTCGATTGCGCAAATTTCAAATACGCCATTATTTAATTCACATGTTCATAATGTATTTGTTTTAATTACTTAATTAATATTTTTCTACCAACATTACTATGAAATCCCAGTAAAATCACTGATTAGTAAAACCATATAGATAAGCAAAAATTTTATTTTAAACAGATTGGTCAGAGTTGGCAGAGTGCGTTATATATATTATGCTGGTATCGTGAAGCATGGAGAATGTTTTTAGTTTTTCTTTGTAGATCATTTCATAATTCTTGATCACACTGGGTCTCCGTAGCCATAAATTGCTTTCATGTGTGTTTTCATCCCCATTTTAACATCATAAGCCAATATTATGTGACAGACAATTGTTCGTGATATGTTTGCACGTTATTGTTCTTATTTAGTTCTAGTGATAATAATCTGAAAGTTTTCTTTTCTAATATTATAATAATATGTATTACATGTATTATGATGTTAATTTCTATGCTCATTTATCTTTTGAAATGGTTCTATTGGAATTAAATGCAATCTCTTATTTGTGAATTGGTTCATTGTTTTTTTGTTTGTTTTTTGAATCATTGAAAACAATTGTCCATGTTGCCATCTCATCTGCAACAGGGTCTGATAATGTTCACGATGTGTTCAAAATCGAATGGATTCGAATAAGGCGAGGTTGATGCGTAACTACTTTGGCAACCATGGTCATCATCATTTCTCGTATGTGGAGTAGGCGAAAGACTTAGATGCTGTTGTTAATTATTGACACCCTAACATAGGCTACAATTGTATAAATGTCAGCATATATACTATGCAATACAAATTGTTCGTATATAATAAGTATTATATTTGAAGGGTCAAATCCCATATTGGGTTGAACAGCAAGTAATGGTCGGTGAAGACCCTAAGTACGTCACATGCAGTGCAGAGACCAGAGCCACTAGCAGAGATCCATCCCGTAATTCGCTCACTTAAAGTGCCTGAAAATGCCTACTATCAACTTTTATTTTCAAACCCTGGCTTGCCCATAATGATGATTTATGCCACTTTCACTTTTATAACCGGAAAAACACGGCCCTGCATTCAGTATTTATGACACGCCCCTTTTTCGTTATGGTCGACTTTTTTCGGCTATACGAACATTGCCGAGGAATTGTTTACACACGATGTGTATTGACTTCTGAGATTGTGAACAGTATTACGCAGTTGGGTGTCAGTAAGCCGATAATCACTATGGTGAGGCGATTCGCTTTTGGGGGCTGTACACGACCAAAGATGCAACCTTGTTTTCATTTCCAAATGAGCCGATGAGACGTCAATGAACACGAACCAAAACCTTATAATGTTGTGTGTAGCGATCATTTTTCGAAAGATAGCTTCGTGAACCAACTGCATTAGAGTACAGATGTGTTTTGGTAACAAACAAAGTTGAAGCCAGGCGCTATTTCGACCATTTATAAGCAGGAAGAATGTTCGGCAAAACCACAGTCTTCATATGCAAAAAGAGAGAGATGCCACTTTGGGGGGGGCGCTCAATTAAAGTCCGTGTGTTACTTTGCCATAATTAAAAACATCTCTGTCACGTGACCCCCAAACTAGTATATTTAAGATGTAATCACTATTTATTAACAATGTATTTAAGAATCGTTGTATAACAATGAATGTGAAGCTCTTACGGTGTCGCCAGCGAAACCATGTGTTACTATTAAATGTTTAGTTAAAATATAGTAAATACATTTCCTAACAATCGGCAATCTTTGAATATGCTATTTCAAAATGATTAATGCGAAACCTCGCCGATTCTCGTATAGATTAAATTACGTTGCTTATACGACATCTCACAAGTCGCCGTTGAACTATCGGTGATAGTGTGCACATTTCACTGCTTTCTTTATCAGAATGGTTCTAAAATTATTACGAAGCACTTATACAGGCAAGTGAAACAATGGTACCAATTTATTTTAGGGAATGAAAACACTAAGACAAACATATACGAAAAATACTTTCAAATGATTCAACTCAAAAGATACAAAAGTCTCTCTCAATAACACTGTCACGTTGAAATATACATGGTATAGGAGCTTACAGAATTGTGTTATGTGACGTTGACAAAGGTCCGCCAAGCATTTAGTCGTCAAGTCAACATAGACAGGTCCAAATGTAGGTGCCTTTCATTTCAATGCGTATACATTCTGGATATGCAAGAACGCCGTGTTAATCAGGGATGTCTACGTTTGACGCAGAAATTACGCGTAATTTCCACGTATCCCGGGTAGCAGGTGCACTTAAATGACCCAGGCGTGTTGACGCAGTTGGATTGCCAACAGAGCGTGTTACCGAGTAACCTGCATTCGTTGATATCTGCAAATAAAGTGAAAAGACACTTAGACGCTCTCAGGTTTGTTCATTAGACTTTCATATGTATGTAGAATTCCGTCTAAAATAAATACAAGCTTCCGCATGTTGCACAGCCATGTACATGTGTACATACGAACACGTGTTTGTACATCCGATACTTTATAATATCTACCGCCATGTAGTATTATACACCCGTAATTTGTAACTGAAATGAATTACATGAGCATTACATATAAACCACATAATCGATGAATAAAATTATACGTATTCGATACGTAGTATTTGCTGCAATTGTCTAGGCAAATGAGTGGCCGCCTGTTAATTTAATAACGGTTGTGTCAGAGCAACTGACAACTCACTTTTCAAAAACAGCGTAATAATATGTTGCGCGTAACGAAGTACTGTAATTTCCAGGAAATATACAACTCACCCCGACACGTGGTTCCGGTTCTATCCAATTTGAATCCTCTATAACAGTCACAGGCGTAACCTCCATGGACACGAACGCATCGACCATTAACACATCCATCTAGAAACCCACAATCGAGTTCCAGTTCTTCCTGACCTAAACCATACAATGGCATAACTTACAGGAATAATCATTTAGAGATAAAGTCATAATATACCCAGTAAATGTTAGAACATTATAGTATCAAGTTTATTAGTAATGGATGTCATTCATTGTGAAATTGACAATTATTATAAATAGTAAATTCACCAGTTACTGTAGTATATACAATTTCAAACTTAGTTAGTATTAGCCAGTTACGATTGGTTCGGAATTTTTAAAGCGTCTGTGAACACTGCAAAGTCACTAGAAAGTTGTGTTATAACCACGCTCTCAAAGACAAATAATAATGCCCATTCTAGGAATTAACCAAACTGACCCATTAATTGGGCTCCGCTGTTATAAACACAAGTTCATTCGACGCTGTATATACCCATTGCTGCTTAATGGCCGCCATAGTGTATTCATACATTAACAAACAAATAATAAATAAATACCATCGGATCTTGCAGCAGCAACTGGTGTTCTAATCTGGGAAGGACGAGCACGTAAACCACTTCTGGACTTGTATTCAGAACACAGCTCGTTATATTCCACTACAATAGATAATTATGAAAAAAGCAATAAATAGGTGGGAACAATCGGTCGATGACAATTATTTATCTAAGAGACGTAGTTTCTCCAATATGTTCAGAACAAATGCATCTGAATTGATAACCACCAATTACCATAACTTACTAGAATTAGGAGTCGGACAACGTCGACATTCAAATCCCCATCCCACGCCGGCTGTGCAGCAACAATCGGTGTACGTCGATTCCGGACCGTCCATTGCTGAATTACATACAACTTCATTGCTAAGTTCAGTCCAGCATACGTCAGTTGCATTTGTATCCACCGTGTCTACCGCAGCCATGGCAACTGAATATGATAAATATTACTGTTACAAATGAATACAAAGTATCGTGTTGAAAGGTCAAATTCATTTTGACAGATAGAAATGGTATATCCCAGTTATCACCACGATTGGGGGGGGGGGGTCGCTAACTCCTGTATTAATTGTCAACAAATGTGTCTAAGTTGAATGCACGAGTTGATTATGTTCTGAAACTGTTTTACTATACAACATTCGACATTATCATTGAACAAGCAGCCTGTCAGCTAATATAGCTCTGCTTTTTCAGATGCATTTTGAGAAAGAAATATCAAATCAATCAGTTGTTCAAATCATTCAAATTCAAATCAATTAGGCGTTTTGAAGATAACAAGAATACCGATATTCACTAGAATGAGAAATAATTGAATGAATTAATCTGATAAAGGAAGGCATCAAATCAATCTGACAGTGATTCGTCTAAGGTACCTACATATAAAATATCAGAAATGTGTTGGTGGTTTCAGAAACATGTCAAAAAATTTCACTAAAATAAGTGACGTAAAATTGTCATGAAAATCAACAAATTAGTTAGGTCAACCCAAAGCGGGTTTTAATAAGAATTAAAGAATTGAAGATATCGTCACAACATGAATTAACTGACTGGGATCCATCCAACGTGAACACGTATAAAATATTGATTAGAATAGCCATTTTTAGGAAAACAAAAATTACAAAAATATTCATCAAAATTAGAGATTTGAAAATATCACCATGAAATTGACAAATTTGAGAGAAGTCCATCTGAGGTAACTATAAAATACTAAAGCACTTTTCAGGATTGGGATACGTCGAAAATTGAATGTGCATGACGTCGACGACACAAAATCAGTAATACGGCTATCTCCGCCAGACGAAGTAGATAAATAAGCTGGGGGAAAAATGACTGATTGGTCGATGAATCAATTTGTTTGTTTGTTACCGTCTGAACAAGTGGATACGACTTTACCTATGCATCTCGTGCCAGTGCCATCAACGGTTAATGGCGGATTGCATTCACAGTGATATGAGCCTTCGGTATTCACACATTTACCATTCGGGCATATGCCTAATTCAAAGCATTCATTCTTATCTAGACAATGACGAAAAATATATAGGTTATTATTCTGCAATGAGAGTGGGTCAAATGTCGTTGTGCAATGTTGGGAGTAATGTATGCAAAAGTCTGAGGAACATAGGTGTATGCCAGAGCATAGACCCAAGAGATATACGTATCAATCAAAATAACTCTCTCTTTCTTGTATGTCGCCCTCTATCGACAGAGTGCTTTAATTACGTGTATGGATGGAAACAACGTTGGTTCACACAACTTAACTAGTGTGTTTGCCTGTGTAAACGTCATACATAGTAATATAGTAAATATCTCAACGAAAATTATGTATTCATGACAGACGACTACTGATGATAAACCACATAGATATATATCAAAAGTAACCCTGATTATATACAGTGCATGCTATTCACCAAAATGGCGTTCTGCCAAAAGAGGGCGTGCTTCATAGGAATAGTGTATTTTAGAGTTAATCCAAACCTTATATTAGATATAATAAAACAATTTTAGGCGACTTGTGATTTTCTAAAGGACTTACCAACACATTGCTGCGTTCTTAGGTTAAGTCGATACCCTGGAGGGCAAGTACATTCATAACCATTGACCGTATTAACGCAGTCCCCATTGGGACACAGATTGTGAAATAGATCACACTCATCAATATCTGCATAAACAAAACAGAAACAAAAACAATAATTTGACATATAACAAGTAACTAGCAGGCATCATCAATCCATTGTATGTGTTTTGAGAGACACTTTTTCCATATAACAGGGCATCTGAGAATACCATTTACTCACTATAAAAATAATTTTAGTATCTGGTTGTTGTTTTTTCGCTGCTAACCAAATGCGCTAAATTAAAACCCAGTAACTTAGCAATGTTCAACGTAAATTGTACTGTCTTCTTTACAAACCTGTGAATTTCAAATCTAATGAACATACAAGGCTACTAAAATTACACCCAATGAATATTTCTCATTTTACTATGGGCGGTAGAAGTTTCGTTATAATTATAATTCGTTATTAATTATAAAATAAGTCATTCTACCAATGCGGTACTATAAATAAAAAAAAGTCGACGATTTATCCCGCAAAGGTATCAAAGACAAGTCAAGTGAATTTACCGTCTAAGCGATGTCCTTCAGCTTCCGATCCTAACATTAGTTTTCCTTTACCACCGGGACACATTTTATTGAATGCACCTACAACAAACGTTTCATGGATTAATGGATCATGATACATAACATTAACGGGGGTCTTGTAACAACAGAATGAGAAGGCGTTTTGGTTAATATCCATAATACCATATATCGCCGACGATAATTGCATATTAATCCTGACATCTGTCATACATTAACCACTGTTATAGTTTATGACGTAAAACATTTAACAGTGTAAATCTGCTATTTTAGCCGTATTCGGTTCAATGTATGAATTAACAGAATCTTAATTGAAGTAAGGAGCCAACAATATTCGTGTAAGAATGTGCCTTGTTTACAGCTACTGCTTTAATTAGCGGAATTACAGGGGAACTAATTTAGGTGAAATAGATAGCTTACTTGAACTTGGCAATGTTTCGAATTTAATCCTGGATGACAAAAAACGTAAATCGCAGTACATACGACACATAAATAAATTTACGACTTACTTGTACCAAAATATGGACAAGGCCAAAGGTTACAGTTATCTCCCCAGCCTTCCCCAAGCGAGCAGCAACATTCTTCTTTCGTCATGTTAAGTCCTATCAGATTTTCGCAAAAACGGAGCGAGTTTAAGTTATTGTAACAATCTTTTTTACTTTCATCTGTTGGTGAAAAGGACAAACAAAACTAAATTGTACCACAATATTCATATTTGAAGGATACATTGTAGAATCGACAGTTTAGACGACCAATACGTGTTGCATGATTTTAATAAACTCAGAATGATTGTTCAAACACGATGTTCACAAATGTTGCGTGCGCTCTTCTGTTCTTTGTTTGTGCTGTAACACTATACCAATTCATCACCGCTATGTCAGACTTACGTGAAAACAATACCCCTCCTATCTGAGCCTCACATCTATGTATTTTACCTTTACACGACTTTGTACTCTGATGGTATTCCATTCCATATCCCAGACACTCGCAGTGAAATGTACCATCATCGTTAACACACTCGGCTTCACCACATACCGAGTCATCTATCTCACATTCGTCGATATCTGTCGCGGAAAATCGATATGTAGTGTGAGGACGTGTCGTGTAGAGTGAGGTTAAATTATTTATTAATTAAATCAACTTACGACAACCATCATGGTATTAAAGTTTATGTCCGCTTATACGCGAATGCTCGAATCTGTGAGCGACTAACGCTGGACGTGGCCGTACCGCTGTTATACTGACCTAAGCATTTTCTCCCATCCGAGGCGGGCATATATCCTTGGTAACAGAGACAGTTGTAACCTCCATCACTGTTGAAACATTCACCGTTATCACAAACAGAATCGTCTTCGCATTCGTCGATATCTTGTATTTTGAAAGAGAAAGGAAGAGCACAGTTAACTATGATTTACATGTCTGAATGGTTCAACGCTACAACAATAAAGATCAGCAACCACGTGTACAGTACCTTGACAACTATTCCCGGATGTAGTGAGCTCGTAACCATCCCCACAGTGGACTTCCATACAGTGATAACTACCAATGGTATTAAGACATTTCCTGCCATTACACACATAACCGCCACTGCATTCGTCTATGTCTAAATTTTTAAAAAAATGTGTTCACTTTAGTGTAAATTGTGTGTCGCCGAGTAAACAGCTGAGAGAAAAGACAGGAATCAAAGAAAGCAGAATATTTTGCTCACCCATGCAGTCGGTGCCATCGTCCGCGAGCTGAAATCCTTCGGGACACGTGCATTTATAACTTCCCTTGGTGTTTGTACACATACCATTGAAACACAGGGACATATCTTCCGAACACTCGTCTTTATCTGCGTCAGTATAGAAAGGTATACAACATCAAAATGCATCATGATTAAAACGATACTTGATGTCATTATATGCAAATGTTGCACTGCTGACTTGTTTTTTTTATTATTCACACAATAGTATGACAGTGATGACAGTTGACTACAACAATTTACTAACTCATAACAGTACTACACGTAAAAGCATGGAAGGTAGTAGTCTAGAGTGGTAAAGTCGGGACTTCTTTTTTTGTTTTACAAACAAAAATATATTTAATTGTCAATTTAGCCTTTTAAACGTGATCACGAAAACAAGCGTGAATGCGATAGAAATCCCGACTGGACGCATATTTAAGCGACCCCTGCGTTGAAGTTAAAACCGGGGCGCAATTAATCCGGTGATTATGCTAATTAAAAGCTGTTGACTTGCATTTACAACGAACCAGAGTGCAGCTGTATACGTCATATCTTATCTACGTGACCTTTCACTTCTGAGGTCCCGGCGATTATGAAAGACTACATATAGGTCTCATGCCATTAATCAACCAAATTTAATAGCCTTGCAAGAACCAATGAAATTTTTTAAATATTTTTTTTCTCAGGTGCTCCCTGTTTGAGGGCGTGATCACCTTGGTCAAAGGTGACCCCAACATGTGGTATTTTGTTTACTACTTAGCGACTGTGTACCTGTAAGTTTATTCTGTGTGTATTTGGATGTTCTAATCTTGGTGTTTTTCCAGTGATTTCTTTAGGTGCAATCCAAATACAGTAGGTGTGTTTTGTTTACCTGAGATTTGCAAGAGTTTGAGCTGGCCAACATGTTATTTTTTTTCAAGTGGTTGATGATTTCCCATTTTTGAGCCATGTTTTCAACTTTCTTCATAATTTTTATATAGCAATATCGTCATATGTTAACATTGTCGTCTATGGAAATTCAATTAGTGGTATGAGCCCTTATATACATCGGACATTTAAATTGACTTGTTTTCAGTAAACATGGATGAAAGTATCGCCTTTGCACTTAGAAAGTTAAAGCACAATCCCAGGACTGTGGTTAAAGTATCCATCTTTGCGATCGAATCGAATCAACCTTTAAAATGTCATGTTTACTTTAACAAACCCACTCATGAATAATCAATGAAATCATGAATAATTAATAGCAGTCAAATGCCCGCAGATGCGTCCAGTCGGATTTTCTTTAGCGGTCAGGTTAGTTTTCGCGATCACGTTAAAAGGACTAAAAGAACACTTAATTATTTCTTTTTGTAAAACAAAAAAGAAGTCCCCACTTTGCCAGTCTAGTAGTAGTCATATCACCCTTCCATGGTAACATATATGCAAGTCGAATACGTATCATCTTCTTCAGAATACGTATTATCAGTGTTTTATGTGAACTCGTACTGTAGCTTATAATTGAATGAATACTTGAACGAATGCATATATTATGAGACTCACCTACACACCGGTTTCCTTGACGATTTTGTTTGTATCCGTCGTCACACAGGCATCGAAAACTGCCCAATGTGTTGACACATCTGCCATTTCTACATAGACCGGGGATACTGTTACATTCGTTTATTTCTGAAAATAGCAACAGTGTTGTATAAATGGACAATAGACCCTGTGCTCAAATGGCCGCCGAGATTTCGGCGAGAGTGAGACAATTCACGAGACTCCTCCCCTTCTGTGAAAATAATGTTCTATTTTCTGTCATCATCGAGTACTATACTGTACCAAATGTCATGGTCAGGAGAACAATAGGCGCGATGTCGGGGGGGGGGGGTACAAGTCGCGTAACTATCGATTTCAACAAGATTTCTCGGCGGATATTTGAGAATGAGGGATATTGAAATCTACCCACAGTACCTAAGTGTATTCATATCAAGAAGTATAACTGTGAATATTAATTAGCTGCAGTTTCATTGGTTTTATCACAGGGGGACTATGTTTTTATATAATATTTCAAACATAATTGCAAATGTCCAATCGATCTGTTTGTCTAAAATATACTATGTACCATTATCTCTATGCAAACTGACGACTTGGAGTGGACATGTGTTTATTGTTCACAGAGATGTCATGAGCAGATTTAGAGAGCCCCCCCCCCACATTTTTAACAACCAACAGGGCTTCGCGCCATCGGCACTCGCGAACTTGGCCTTCGGCCAACTTATCGCCCCCCCCTCCCATTCCAGAATCCTAGATCCGCCTCTGTGAATGACAGACAAACGAATAAATAAATAATTTTAATATTTTTTTACCCGTATCATGCAGTGTTTCAAGAACGGGAAAGTATTTTCTGAATATGTTCAAAATAAATATGAAGTAATATTTCTCACGAGTTCCTGCATTGTATGACACCAACCACACAGTGGAGACGTTCCCTACCTTTCTTCTGGCCTTCCAATCCAGGCGTTATTTGATACCCTTCGCCATAGGGGCAGAGACCACGGAATTCATCTGCGTATTAGCAAAGTATAAAATTACATGAAAATAAAGTATTAGGTCATGTTGTACTGTTCTGACCGCCCTCTGATATGAAAACAACGTGCATCACACTATCAAAACAATAAGTCTATAATAACATGACAATTTTTTTAGACGAATGGATAACTGTTTGAAAAACAATATTGACTTTAGCCACAGTTTAATGTAACACGAATGCAGTTAAATATAGTTATGTTGTGAAAATAGGGTTTATATTTCTGTACATGTCCATTTATATGGTCCATATCGGGAATTTACATCATTGTATATGTTGACTATTTCAATGCATATGGATTATGTTGGAAGTTTACATAATTGTATATCTCGATGTATATCTCAATGCACATGGCCTATATTCACATTATTGTACATATTCTTACCTGTTTTCTTACGAGGGCAAGATTCACACTGAGACCCCCAACCTCGACCAATGCTGCAACAACACTGCATCTTCGTCATGGCAATCGGCACTGGGTCCGAGCACATGCCACGTAACTGCTTTCTGTAACACTGTGCGGAGACTGAGGCTGTGAGAGATGGCACAACGGTATGGAAGGTGATTCAAAATAACGTACAGTTTATCATAGCTTCTGGGTTCCCTGTAGTTTCAGTTCACTTTCCAAAACTGTGTGGCGACAGGGAAGCTCTAAATTTTAAGAATTATGCAAATTGGATTGGCAGCCACCAGACTGGTAAAGCTCGTACTTGTTTGTACATTTCCCCCACTTAGTGCTAAAACATGTGTCTGAGAATATTTGTTTTTGTAAGGTTGACATTTGCATCTACCATGGGACCTTCTGGTGTTTACGTTGATGTGTGAATATTATCTAAGGTTGCACTGGTATGAGACAAGAAACGAGATCTACGTACCAACACACAGAGTAGAAGACGAATCTAATGAATATCCCGGATGACACACACACTGATAGCTACCGTATGAGTTTTTACATGCGCCATTGCCACATATCCCGTCCAATGCTTCACATTCATTAACGTCTATAGTGAAATAAACAAAACAATAACACATGTAAGTAATATGTACTTCTGTATCTACACTGTCCCAGATACTTATACCGTATCTCCACATAGGTTGTTATATCCTCCATGCATTGGACAGGTTCAATTATGGGTGAGACCTACGTATGACATTTTTAATCGAAATTTCCTCTTTTTTATTTTTATTTTCGAATCTACATTCAGTTCTCTTTATTTTGTACATTTTTGATATCCTATCTCATAAGGAAACCTTGAAAAAAATAGTCCAAACCACGCGAAAATTTAAAAAAAAATGTTAATGATTTGATGACCTAATATTCATTTGCATATAATTTTCACGATTGGTCTGAATTTCGCACTTGCTTCTCATGCGCATTTTTAGTATGTATCAGATATTAGATAACATTTCTAATGAAAAAAAAAATCAGTGTCAATCAAAAAAAATTCTGAAATCGATATTTTGGATGAAACTAATGTTTATTTTTTAATCTACTGAACAGTATCCCAAAATGAACATTTTTGGGACACATGGTTCTAGCCAAAAATAAATAATTCGTTTTAGGTGGCATACTGTGATCTTCTGAACGGAAACATGGGTAAGAATACAAGTGTTAACGAACATGGGTAAAATATGTCAGTTACTTAAGAACAATTTTTTTAATGAATTTTAATTATAACCAATTAGAGTTGTTTGATCTTCAGAACACAACAGTTATTTACAGTTTATATGGATCTAAGTTATCATGTTAATACAAAAAAAAATATGCATATGTGTCAATGAGAAGTAATGGGTATTATTGGCACACGTCAATATATTAATAAAAAAACATCAACATCGAGGGATTTCCCGATGGTTTGCTTGAAATCATCATTCACAATTATTCAAAAAGATTAAGCGTCCACCAAAGACAGACATTATTAAAACAAATGCACAAATGCATATTCAAATACAGTTTAATCGTTGTCTGCGTTTTCAATGCGCATTGCCTATGTCAAACGTGTATGTAATAAATAACAAGATTTCGTTTGGCCTGGCATCTGGTTACAATTACATAATTGGCAATGATTAGAAACATATATAAATATATAGCACACTAATTGGAACATGGTGAATGGTTTCGCTGACTCACCCATACATTCTTCGGTGTTAAAATGCTTTTTGAACCCAGTGGGGCAGTCTTTTTCTCTGTCTGCCGAGAAAAGAAACAAACACAGCTGTGATGAAATGACGTCATGTACACTACTATTAACATTACAGTGGCGAGGCGTCTCATATATCCATGGTACGAATTCTGATTTCACTCATTGATAAATTGTAAAGTATAGAATCGTGCTACCAACTTGGGATGGTCATTGCTATGTTAGTTTACGTCGAATTGTCCTGTCATTCAAGTAACATATTCAGGACTTTCAGAGAGCAACATGGCTTAAAATTTCGCAATACTTTACTTTGTATTTCACTCCTGGGCGTTGACACAATGACGTCATATAAACGTCATACTGTTCGTTTCATTCAAGTCACCGGATGTTTCTTAGGGGGAGGGGTAGTTGGTGCGGTATAAAGGTATCCTTAGTACAAAAATAGCATCAGACATATCCATACCTATCTGTTGCGGACATATATAGCACGGGTCACCCCAAGCTTTGCCAACCGTCGTACAGCAATCGTCGTGAAGCGTGAGCATGTTACTGAGTGGGGCTTTACACTCGTTGTTCGTTACTACGCGAAAACAGGGTCCTCGCAAATGATGTCGTGCCAGTAAAGGTTCTGTTACGATATAACATAAAGAATATCAAATATGAATGTGTGTTTTGTATGTGTCTGAATACAATGAACAGGCGGCTAGTTTCATGACATGATGTTAAAAAGTTTCTTTTTTTTTTGATTTCTAATTATATTTGTATATATTTATTTGTTTATTTTACATTATATATTTTTATTATATTTTATTTCTGGTCGCGAATACACAGCAACCTATGTCTTGTTCAAACGGTGTGTCCGGGGACGTTTTGTCCTAGTACACTTTACTGTAAACACATTCTACCTTGCCCTGTTTACGTGAAATCGACTTGGCCATGAATTCGAAATTGTGACTATTTCCGGGCACTCCGCAATGCGGTTGCTTTGTGGATATACTCGTACATAAGTGTTAAGTAGTAATATATTTATGACTGCAACACTCCCCCATATATTACACATACATGTTTCTAATTTCAGTAGCTTACGACGCCAGCCAATGACCAAAATGCGGTGAGTGGACGGTGCGCGGTTAGAAAGTAGTGCAAACACCTTGAAGCTGCTTCAGTGACAAAAAATACCGTAACTTGAAAAATAGCGAAGAACAGTATGTTTGCGCTTTATTCATCTGTGAGCCATAAACAAATGTTAGTTATTTATTGAATAAATTCCACGATTTTCATGTACAGGAATATGGGGTCATTGACCCCATGGCGTCACACAGAGGCGTGTATCGGACACCAGGTGACAGAGGAATGTAGGCCTTTCATTTAATGTAAATTACAAGTGACGCTAAAGTGTTCTGTTGACTGGGTTGTTATGGCAACTAAAACGTGTTTTTGTAAATTGCCCATTTGACTTGTTGATATGTTTGATATATTTTATTAGTACAAAAAAACATAAATAAATAAATAAATAAATAAATAAATAAATAAATAAATAAATAAATAAATAAATAAATAAATAAATAAATAAATAAATAAATAAATAAAATATGGAATTAAAAAAAAAATAATAGCAAAATAGACTGGGGTAAAATACATCAACGTGTGTATATAATACTGTGTAAATTGACTAGACTGGGAATACCAACGTGCGAATTAATTTTATATATAGTTCTGCGAAACCAAACTGAAAAGTATACCACGCAATTTGTTCATTTTGTGACGATATCTCTAATTTTCACATTTCAGTGAATATTTTTGGTAATAAATTATATGTCGACTTCTTATATAACTCAAACAAAATATGTTTGTTCTGGGTCAGAAGTTTTAGTAACAACCACTTATGGTACGTTTTCACAAATTCATTTACAATTGCTACACGTTTGCTGCTAATGCGTCGGTCATAATTGTCATTTCACGTGCCTCTAGTTTCAAAGGTTACTACTGTTGTTACGTCTCTCTCAGCGAAGTTTTCGACTTGCGGGTTTGACGATTGTGTGAGTATGCCAGAAAATCGGCAAAATGTGATGAGTTCCAACGCATGCGTACACTCGCAGAATTATTCTTTTAAAGCGTCACAATTTTTTTCTGGACAACGTCTACTCTTTCAAATTATAGGCACGTAGTATAACATAAGATTGTAGTTAAGTTACATAGATGATCTCAAAACATTTCACTTGCTTGGTCTTGACCAGGAATTACCTGCCAACAACAGTTGTTTGTGTCGTTATGGAAATAAACAACACGCCATTGAATCTCAATCACAATGATTTCCGGTTCGCGCATACAAACGGTGCTGCACTGGCGTTAACCCGCGAACTGTCTTAAACTTGCTATGACTAAATAACACGTAATTGAGGATAGAGCGGGCATAATGTAGCCCAGACAGTTCGTCTTATTTTCAAAAACTTAGGCTGCGAGTATTTCAATCGTTGATGCATGTTTTCCCTCCGCTCTACCCTACGTCATTGCAAACATTGTCATTCAAATCACTTCCGAGCGAAAAGGTTAACCACGGCTCACTTTCATTGTCCGAAAGCGAATCACTGTCACGGCACGCCCAATTCCACATTTTCTCAGCATTACGGTAGCCCTCCGACCGATTCGTGACGGCAAAACATACAGAAACTTCCGACTGTCGTTTTTAATCTCATACAGGCTATTGTATATTGAAATGCCGATAAAAAAGACACTTTATATTGGGAGTGTCTGATGATTATTAGCAACAAAATTTTGTATACATCTATGTGTATATACACGTACCTTAGCGATAAATGGGGGACTACGCCTATGGGTTGGCCATGTAATTGAATATAAAAGATGATGGAGAGTCTAAGTTTCACACAACTTCATGGAATTTGAGAACACCTGTTGATATTAGGAGAAAAACATCGTGGACTTTATTAGAAATACAAGTTCCATAGACGGTCACGATGGCTGTGAAGGCGAGGGTTTACATTTTCTTCGGATGTTGGGTGATACTTTCAGTGGGAGCATTCGTACTGAACATTTTGAACGTGGATTGGGAGCGGACACACATCGCACACGGACTTATACTGTGTGTTGTATTAGGTATTTTACAAAGCTGTGTTATGGAAATGGTAATGAATACCATGGTGACTATAATAACACGTATGACGTGCTGGAAACACTACGATGATAGAGCCGACTACTCTAACTTGACTTTGATAATGGCGTACAATCTACTAGCGTTGAGCCAATCGGATATTGATGCAACTTTTGGGAGCATGTACGACGCTTTTATGGGTAACCTCAGCGAAAAAATCTCTATTGTTCTCGTCAGTGCAACAGGTAATGCTGATCTTAAACAGTATGAGGTTGAGTGTTGCCAGCGTTACAGGGAACTCGTATATGATACACTTCTCGCCGAGTGTTGTGCTTACACGTACGGGAACGAAAGTTGTATAGATCAGGGACGACTGAATCTCTTCTGGAAGAAGTACGCAAAGGCTGATCTGCGGAACAATACCGAGGAATTCTGCGCAAACATCGCGAATGAGTTCATGGTAATCCATCGCGTGAGTCGAGTCCTGCGAAAGTGTGGCCAATACCAGGATTTAATTCAGTTAAGTTCAGGGGACGATAAAGCCTATACATACACCGACATTGAATATTACGGGAAGATGGCAAGACAGTATGGCGAACCATTGTTTTATGAATGCCCTGACGTGGCTAACATTCGAGGGCGTTCTTTTGACTACACTCTTGTGCTTGACGGCGACACCGGAGTGGCTCCTGCTGTGGCGCACGAAATCCTCGCGATAGCAGCGGCAAACCCGGAGCGAGGATTAATTCAGCCAAGCATCATCATGGATGTTAATGACGATGATACTTTGTTCATGCACCTTGAGAAGCTCCGTCAGGATATAAATGCCCCCGTGGGGGACGCCATTACGAACATGTTCGGACAATGTGGATTTTTCGGTAAAGGCCTGATCAAGAATAAAATATACCTAGAGGAGGTAATTGGGACTCGGAGTAATCTACTAGAGAAAGTTCCTGTCGATGTTCTTAGTCATGATACATTCGAGGCAGCTATCCTCAAACCGTATTACGCTGGAAGTACATTCTTATTAGAAGGTCCGTGCTTCAACTACATCACGTGGGACATCCGCGAAAGGCGTTGGAACAAAGGAGAGGTCCTGCTTTCAAAGTATTTCTGGAAAAAACCAATTGGCAGACCGATGAAATGGCTACAGAGAAAAGTCCAAGGTGAAGACTTCAATGACACCAAGGTACGGACAGAATGTGACTTCGACGTGGTTAGCAAATACGTCGCTCATACTGCTATCCGAATGATGTTGATGAAACCACTCCTTCTTCTGTATATCTTCATCAGCATCAACTCTCATATGCTGTATCCATATCTACCGCTCGTCATTATCATGTTTCTAATAATAGTATTTCCGAAATTGGCTGTACTGACTTTTAGAAACATTCATTTAGTTCTACTCGAGACCGTGTGTTCAATATTACAGTTCACACCAGAGGCCGTGGTCGGCTGTGTTAGACTCTTTCAAGCAATCCAGGCTAACATATGCAAATGTAGCAAATGGGTCCCCCAAAGGGCGGTAGAAGAAGAATTCATGAACAAAAACGTGTTCATTTCGAGTTTCAAACATATGTGGGGGTATTCTTTATTTAGCGGCGTTTTGATAGTGGTTTTTGCTGTCTTCGCGCCACATGCTTTGTTAATTTATTGTCTACTACTGACAGTATTCTTGCTGCCAATTTTCACCGCTCTTACGTCATTAAAACTCAGTCTAACAACGAAGAGTAGATACCGCTTGAACGTGAGAGAAAATTTCTCACGCGTTTCCAGTATAAGTAGTCTCGGGATGCTTGACTCGAATTACTCTTTCGCTTTGAACATATCAGAAATTTAAATCATACTTCTTATATATGAATTATCGACCAATCTCAGTGTGTGTAACAGCCACATGGGAAACAGACTGACCAATCTTGTTGCAAGTAAATTGTAAATATGTTAATTAGCTGTGTTATACCCTACAATGACATGCGGGTTTGACCCAAAGCCTGTACATTACTTCACGAATGCCACATGGACGGCACGACATTTGAGGCCCTGGATGCACATCATTGTAATTTATTTTTTTTATTTATGAATGTAATCACTAACCAATTTATATTATTATTTATCTATTTATTTATTTGAAATAATGTGCTACTATTCACTGCCTTTGTCCGCATGTTGTACAAAATGTTGTGTTTGTATTATGCACTGTATTCAGGTACTAAAAGGATCTAATGAAATAAACAAATCGTATACATGTATTAAACGAACAATTGTATTCTCTGTTCAATTGGTGACAAAGTAAGGACGTAGGTGGCGTGTTTTGAAATGAGTGTGGAACGCAGGTGAGGTGTGGGTCACTCTGTGGCAGATGACATTCACGTACATTCGAGCCATAACAAAAACACGAACTAAATATAAATTATGATCCCCCAAATTGTAAACATACCTGTTGTTATTATCGCCGGTTGTTGCGTTGCTAGTAGCAACTGGCAAGCATAACCATAGTACCCAGTAAGACAGTAACACTGATTTGGTCCCACACATCTTCCACCGTTTAGACACTGGAAATAACACACGGCTACCGGAATAGAAGAAAAATGTATTCGCAAAAATAAATAACCAATCCACAAGTTGAGAAATGCTGTTTTTTGATGTACTGGTGTTAGAGGGAACTTTCATGTGGGATTCTCGAACTCAGGGGGTCACATGACATGATACGTCAAACAGCGTGCATGGTCAACAGTCACACTTATCACGACGGCTGCAAGATTCTTTACTTGGGGCGCACCTTTTTCGATGTCGCGCTGTTGTGTTGCATTGTGGGATATACTTATGTGAGTAACAACGGTTTAGATGCTCCTCTAAATCCTCTACGTGGTAAAGCTTGCTGTAATGTTGTATGCGCATGCGCAGGGCTTCATGACAGTTAAGACACAGTAAGGAAGTTTAGCGTAACTAACATTGCTTTCTTTCGATATCCTCGTTTATTAGACTGTGAAAATATTTTCACGAAACTCGCGATATAAAAGTGAAAAAGTGACTCGGCACATTATCATGCATTTTACGCAATATGTGTTTCCAGGGATAACTGGCGGCTGGGAAATGTACACAGATCGCACAAGGTTGTTTACAAGTAGTGTAAGCACAAGTCAACTATGACTGACAGACAGTCAATCAGTACATGCAACGATGGTTGGCTGCATATGAACAAATGATGTGCAGTCAGTCAGGTACTGAGCCTGATGTCACGTCATCAATCCCCACACGGGCGACATCTGGGGTTTCACGGTGAAATGCGGTCAATAAATGACATTTATCATAACACATGTTTAATAGTTTGTGGTTCATCTTCCTTTTTTCTGGTGAAAATCTAACTCGGATAACAGTGAATTGATCTAACGCGAGATAGCGTATTGGAATGTTTCCGTATAAACCGAGGTAACCATAAAGGTGTCACAAGTAAACCCTGGACGGCGAAGATTAAGTACTAGTATCTGTCAGACGAAATACAGTGAAAGTACATTTCAAATAAGCATTAGCTGCCTACGTGAACACACCAACTAATTAAAATACTTCGACGTCTGTTAAATTGTCTTCACATATTTATGTTCCACCATATCACATTACATTTACAATATACCACATCTGTATTACATTACAACGGACGGCATACGGTAATATTAACAATTACATTACACTACATTACATTACATCACATTACATTACATTACATTATAAAGGGTGATATACGGTGATATTAACAATTACATTACTTGTGCATTACATTACAACGGACGACATACGGAAATATTAACAATTACATTACATTACAACGGACGACATATAGTAATATTAACAATTACATTACAACGGACGACATACGGTAATATTAACAATTACATTACATAACAACGGTGACAAACGGTGATATTAACAATTACATTACTTGTGCATTACATTACAACGGACGACATACGGAAATATTAACAATTACATTACATTACAACGGACGACATATGGTAATATTAACAATTACATTACAACGGACGACATACGGTAATATTAACAATTACATTACATAACAACGGTGACAAACGGTGATATTAACAATTACATTACATTACATTACAATGGGCCACATATGGTGATATTAACAATTACATTACAACGGGCCACATGCGGTGATATTCACAATTACATTACACTGCAAGGTATTATGGCGATATTGTAAAGTACGGTATGTATGCAATATTTGTCTGTCTCATGAAATAAAACAGTAGAGCATGCTGTATCATCTATGTAGAATTGTTTACACACAGCAGCGCCAGGATCTGGTTAGCGTCATGTGGGGATCAGACCATTAATTTAGGAGAACTATCATCGAAGTGGTACGTCTCGCCTGGGTAAATTGTATGACGTGGAGATGTCGAAATGTTGAAATTATATTTTCATTTTTATTTTGTATAAAGAAAAATAATTGCGAATTGGACTATTTATTTATTTCTAGCCGTTTATTAGGACACATAAGCAATGAAACCACATGACTATGTCGGAAGAGCAACTGATTTAGTAGTGTTATTTTACTTACTGTGACTTGGCATCGCCATTTGTGTACATTATGGCGAAATTTATACGGACTCCCTGCCGATCAGAATTGCTTTCAACAAAACTTAACATGTTATAACAAAAAAACCAACCACTCAATCATTGAAATGCATGTACATGTGTAGTAAATTGAAGCCACTTACGAATTGTGCAAAGTCCTGTGGACGTTTCTAACAACCAACCTTCGCAGCAAACACTACCGCACACATGGGGTCTGAAATCAAAGCAATAGAGTATATTTAGTTGACGGATGCCAAC